ATCCCTGCACACACACACACACACATGACAGGAAAAGAATGAGTGTATGCGTGCATGCATGCGTGCATGCATGCGTGCATGCATGCGTGCGTGCGTGTGCTGCTGTTGTCCACAGTCATCACAACAGCGCGACGATGCTCCAACCAAACACACGCCATGCTGCCATCCAACAGCTCTCCTTCTCCTCCTCGTCACCACCACCCCAGCCCGCGCATGCTTGCAAATCCCACGCCGCACATGTGGTGCAGAACAGGACGTACAGCCGCCTGAAGAGGATGAGGAGGACAGCGACGATGTTGGCGTCGGCCCAGGGCACGTGGCGCTTCCTGTTCTGCTTCAGCAGCGGCTCCCGGATGAAGCAGATCAGCACCATCACCAGCACATACACGCACGCCTGACGGTGGCGGCGGTGGTGATGGTGGTGGTGCACGTGTATGGTGGTAGAGGGTGCGGGTGTGGGTGTAACAGGCCATGAGTATAGAAAAAATGGTGTTCATGTGTGTACGTGTGTGTGTTGTGAAAGGATCGTGATGTGCGAGCTGTGCGTGTTGATGAATCAATGGTGGCCAGCAGACATGTTGTTGATGATCGCAGTGGTGGCAGTGGCACAGGAACGGCTGTGTGTTGACGTACAACGAGCCAGAAGACGGCGGCGTAACCGAGCTGTCGCGTCACAACACCACCTGATGGAATACACACGCACACGAGGCACATGTGAGACTGTGTTCCAAAGTGCAGCTGCAAGGGTACAACAGCCACATCCACACGTGCACGTGCACACACACACACACAGCCACCCACACACCCACGCACAACACACACATCTACACGTGCACACACAACACGCACACATGCACGCACAACACACACACACGCACAATACAACACGCGCAACACAACACAACACACAACACACACACACACACGCACGCACAATACAACACGCGCAACACAACACAACACACAACATGCAGTGCACGCTGGCTGCTGCTGCTGCTGCTGCTGACCGATGTAGTAGCCAGCACACGCGCCGGCGAGATTCATGCCCTCCATGACGCCAATCCACGCCGTGCGGTCCTTCTCAGAGGTCACGTCCGCAACGCTGGCCGCAGGATTGAGTGGACGATGAGGTGGCCGTAACGAGTGAGGGAGTGAGGGAGTGAGGTAGACAGAGAGAACACACACACACACACACACACACATTACAGGCAGAGACACGTAGACGCATTCACATCACCCACACACAGATACAGACACAGACAGACACAGACAGACACATCACATCACAGACACACACATCACATCACAGACACACACATCACATCACACACACACAGAGCAGCAGCAGCAGCACCTTGTGAAGAGGGACATGAGGAAGAGGGCGTATGTGCCGAAGATGCCGTAGCAGAGCATGGGCAGATACAGCCAGGGGAGGGCGAGGTCCATGTAGATGACAAGCAGAATGCCAAGCTGCTGCAGCAGCGAGCCCACGCACGGCAGGAACATCATGGGCTTGCGGCCAAACTGTTGAACGTTTGGGGGGAAGGGGAAAATGATGGAAGGGCAGGGACGAGTGGTGGTGGTGGTGGTGAGTCGGTGCATGGTTTGAGCACATACGTGGGAGATGTGGAAGGGATGAACAGACAAACAGCAAGGGGATACACGTACACACACACACACACACACACACACACACACACACACACACACACACACACACACACACACACACACACACACACACACACACACACACATGTACCTTACCTTGTCTGAGAGGGCGCCAAGCGTTGTGACGACAAAGAAGGACGGGATCACCATGGCCAGGTTGTAGTACACGAGCAGCTCAGAGGCCTTGCCCGTCACCTGCGCATGCATGCGCGCAGGTGTGCATATGGGGGTGGAGTGGTAAGTGTGGTGGTGTTGTCGGTGTTCAATGTGGCATGCGTGAGGCGCAAGCGAGGGTGGGTGCCCCAAGACCACGGAGAGCACTCGGAGGCAAACTGGCAGACAAAAGAAAAGGGACAGCGGGTGCGAGTGGAGTGCATGTTGTCGGCGTACGCGGGATGAATCGCAGTAGTCCGGCTGTGTTGCGTTGACGACATTGTGGTGGCGATCGCGCTCGCAGACCTGTGCATGCGTGTGTGTGTGTGTGCATGCGTGTGTGTGTGTGTGTGTGCATGCGTGTGTGTGTGTGTGTGTGTGTGTGTGTGCAGTGCGTGTGTGTGTGTGTGTGTGTGTGTGTGTGTGTGTGTGTGTGTGTGTGGCACGTGGTACATGGGTAAACAAGTGAGGACACATAAGTGCGTTGGATGTGCGCAAAAGACATGCCTCCATGGGACGTGCATCACGTGCACTGCACGCTGGCACGCGTGGACTGACATGGCACTCAAGCACGCAGTAGCTGACACGATCACACACCCCCCCTTCTGTCCCACACGCACGACACGCACACGCACTCACGCACCATCTTTTGCACAAGCTCGTTGCCCGGTGCACCGCCAAGCTGGATGGCCATCATGTACAGGAACATCACAGCCTAAACAGCATGCAGATTGCATGTGTGGTGGTCGAGGTGAGTGAGGTGAGTGAGGTGAGTGAGGTGAGTGAGGTGAGTGAGGTGAGTGAGGTGAGTGAGGTGAGTGAGGTGAGTGAGGTGAGTGAGGTGTGTGTGTGTGTGTGTGTGTGTGTGTGTGTGTGTGTGTGTGTGTGTGTGTGTGTGTGTGTGTGGAAGAGAGAGTGCGTGGAAGAGTGTGTACACATATTGACGAGCATTGCCACATGTCCACGCGCAAGAAAGCATACAGGCCACGCTCCTCGACGCGCTCACTCACCCAGAAGAGGGCCTTCTGGCCCCATCCAATCTCCATGGCGTGTGTGTGTGTATGTGTGTGTGTGTGTGTGTGTGTGTGTGTGTGTGTGTGTGTGTGTGTGTGTGTGTGTGTGTGTGTGTGTTGTGTGGAAGAACAAGAAGAAGACGAAGAAGAAGAACAAGAAGAAGAGGGAAAAACACACACGCACACGCAATCCAGCACAACAACGCCAAACACTGACCACACACCCCCCCCACACCACACCACAACAACGATCCACCACCCTCTCGTGATGGAACTGGACGGTAGGAGGCCTGTGTGCACTCGCTTGCCGTGTACGCTCGCTCACTCGCTTGCTTGCTTGCTTGCTGTGTGATGATGTTGTGACCTGTTTAACTTGGCCCCTCTCCGCCATGTCCATCACCCATGCACCACCCGTTTGCCACTGGCTGTACGTGCACTGACATGCCTCTCGTTCCCTCACCTCACCGTCGCTCCGTTCGCGGCGTTGCGCATCATGCAGAGGAAGAGCGGCAGGCCATCGATACGATGGCAGAGTTCGTGGCGCGGAACGGCCCCACGTTTGAGGCCATGACCCGCGCCAAGCAGCGCCACAACACAAAGCTCGCCTTCCTGTATCAGGGCCACAAGCACCACGGCTACTACCGCGCCAAGGTTGCGGAGCTGAAGATGGCCGAGGCAGCCGCGCTCAAGACACACAAGGCCGCCGGCAGCGCCGAGGCAACCAAGATTGCACACTTCAAGGCACAGCTCCTCAAGCGCGTCATGGACACGGGCACCAAGGCACACATCAAGGTGCTGCTGTGTTGCTGCTGTGGCACTGGTGTTGCGGATTGTGTTGTGTTGAGTGTGTGCTGAGCCATGTGGAGCCGTGCTGCGCTGTGTCTGCCAACCTCTTTCATCGCATCACACTCCCCACCCAGCACTTCTCCTCATCCAAACATGGGCCCTTGCCCATCCTGACATGGTGCTCGCCACCGCACCCCCACCCCACTCCAGGAGGCGACCTTCTGGAGCATTGAGCAGCGGTTCTCGACCAAAGGCTTCTTCGAGCTCGTGCTCGCTCTGCAGCAGCGCGCCCTCTCTGCAGAGGAGCCGGTACGATGCACTGATGATATGGAGGTGCCCCGAGTTGGGGGCGGCTGATGGTGATGGTGGTGGCTGCAGGAATGCAGGCAGCGCGAAGGTGTAGCAATATGACCTGCGCATGTCACTCATTGCGCGCGTATGTGTGGGTGTGGTTGACAGGAGAAACGGATACGCTGCCTGCTGCTCGCCGCCAACATGCTGTATCACGGGTGTGTAGTGGTAGTGGTAGTTGGTTGTTGTTGTTGTTTGTTTGCGGGTTGTGCGTGAAATGCTGTGTTCATGCCACTCCTGAAGGTGTGCTGCGACACTGCTCTGGCATTGCAACGCCACTCACCACTGTAACCACACACACCGGCACCGACGCTGCAGGACGCGTCTTCGTGTGCACGACCTCGTGTCGCCGCTGCAGACCGCCATGCCCGCCCTCTGCTTCTCCGTCATCTCCACCGGCGACGATGGCAAACACGTCGTCGATCAGGTGTCGCTCAATGTATTTTGTGGACGTCTGTGTGTGCGTATATGTGTGTGTGTGTGTGTGTGTGTGTGTGTGTGATAGTGTGTGTGTGTGTGTGTGATAGTGTGTGTGTGTGTGTGTGTGTTCACGTGTGTGTGCGTGTATGTCAAGCGTATGAAGCTACGATGTTCCCCAATCTGCCAGCCGACGCACCCCTTCTCACATCCCAATCACCACTTCCCCCATCACCCCCCCCCCCCAATTCCAACCGCCCCCTCCAGCTGCTGCGGGTGTGGGCGGGCGACGCGGTGTTCCCAGCGCCGCTGATGTCATCACTAGAGAGCACGTGCGCCGGCCGCGTGCCGCCACGACCGCTGCTCTCCGACCTTCCGCCCGCTCGCGACGAGGACGCCCCGCTGGTGATGATGATGATGTGATGAGGGGGAGGGGGGGGGGTCCCGTGTTTCTGTGTTCTTCGTGATCAATTGACACGCACACCCATCCCCCCACCAAAACCCACACCCACACCCACACACCCACACACACACACACCACCACCACACACACACACACACACACACACACACACACACACACACACACACACACACACACACACACAC